GGAGCAGAAAGCGGAGAAGAAATAGCATCAAAACTATAATTAATTCAATTTAAATAAAGAATTTTATACCTTGTACAGTTATTGAATGCATGGCTTGTAATGAACTTTTACATGTTCGACTATTTTAATCACAGTAATTAATATGGATAATGGATAATATAACATAATATAATATAATACAGTATGTCAACATAAATTTTGGTGAGGGTACGTATAAGGAGCGCAGTGTGTACACGAATGTTTTGTTAAGTCGTACATTTACTTAGTCTCGTCATAGCCAAGTTCATGCACTTGATTAACGTGTTAATGGTGAAATTAGATATGATGATGGCGTATTAACGAGTTAGCTAATTGAATTTTATATTTGGTTAATTGATCAATAAAGGTCAATGGGAAAAATGGAGGGATCGATCAAGATCCGCCGCATTAATATTGCATGTTCGATATTTTCGTTCAAAAACATTCGTGTACACACTGCGCTCCTTATACGTACCCTCACCAAAATTTATGTTGACATACTGTATTATATTATATTATGTTATATTATCCATTATCCATATTAATTACTGTGATTAAAATAGTCGAACATGTAAAAGTTCATTACAAGCCATGCATTCAATAACTGTACAAGGTATAAAATTCTTTATTTAAATTGAATTAATTATAGTTTTGATGCTATTTCTTCTCCGCTTTCTGCTCCACTTATCACGTTTCTTTCCCATGTTACTCCATATGGTCCATATATGTGTGTAACATACATATCTATATATATATCACATTTTTTCTTCAAGACATATACGTTGTCTTATGTTTCTTTTTTAGATACTACATGTGTATAGGTATCTGAGTAAAATATATTATTAGAAATAATCAATATTTTATTGAATATAATAATAATTATCAGAAAATAATCAATATTTATTTTATTATATTGTAGTAATTATTAGATACTAAATGTATACTTTTTTTTCATAAAAACATATTAAAATTGATAATATGATAGAAGCTACGTTGCTAACATTGAAAAACGGGACGGCCAAAGTGGAAAGACTTTACGTATTTGTGTCATTTGGTAACGAAATTTTAGTGTCAAGCAACCACATTTACCATCTCTATGGAGAAGCACTTCATTGGTGGGAGGAAGTGGTTCGTGAGGCTGCACCCGGATATCAGTTTACTTGGGAGGAGTTCCGGGCACGTTTTGAAGACAAGTATTGTCTGAAGGGAGATCAAGACCATCGTATTGTGGAGTTCCTCCATCTGGAGCAGGGTGTTTATGATTTCAAACGATTTTTGAAAGGAAGGTTTTCAAACGTATCTATACATGATCCTGAAGTCACCAGAACTGAAAATTTTCCCTTGTCTGCAGTGTACCGATGCCTCCGAGACGTGGTAGACCTGCCCGTTTGCCGGTGAGGGAAGAACCCCCTCCACCCGAGCATGCACCACCAGAGTTCCAGCAGCAGTTCTTTGATACGATGTGGCATCAGTACCAGATGAACATGCCACATCAGGCTGGAGCTAGACCAGAGGGTATTCCACCCCCACCTCCACCGGGACCACCAGGGCATCTAGCCCCTGTTGTGGTGGACTACCTGCCCTTGATACGGGAAC